CCTGTGGTTCGACCCTGGTCTTGCCGGGTTATTTATTACTTCGACACTCCTGCACTTGGGAGAAGACATCAACCTTTTAGTCGTGTCAATATACTTTTCCAAAATGACAAAACTGTACTAAACTGTTGTTTCCTTATCGTTTATTTTAACGGCGTTTTTCATAAAAGAAATAACAAGGGAGCATAAATAGGTTCCTACTGTGTGTCAATAGCATGGCCATCCAAGTAAGAAATGGCAACTGCGGCATGGAAAGCTGCTCCAATAGAAAGGACCTCCTCATCAATAACAAAGTACGGGGAATGCACTCTCTTCACTGATTTCACTGTTTCATTCTTTGTTCCAATAAAGAAAAATGCAGCTTTCATCTTCTGTGAATAAAAGCTGAAATCCTCTGCTCCCATGGTCATTGGGGCAAGAAGCACGTTAGATTCTCCAAGCAAAGCTTCCCCCACTTGTTTCGCATGTTTGTACATGGCTTCATCATTTACAGTGGATGGGTAAGGCCTCATTTTTTCTTCCAAGAAATCTAAAGAACCAGTACACTGGTGAACAGCTGCTTGCATCTCTACAATCTGTTAGCGACGTAATGTTTTCATTGATGTTCATCTCAAATTAAATAAGAAGCTCCTAAGAAATTAAAAAGTCTTGGCGCTTGCTTAAAAGAAAATTTCTAATATTGTCTACACTCTTTGAGTGGATGTGCATTTACCAAGTCTTTTTGTTTATTAGATTATTTGTTCCTTGAATCATTGAAACATGGTTACCTGCATTACCCTTTGCTGAAGGGAGACTAGACCTTCTGTAGTCAGGCTCCGAATTGAGCCTCCGAATCTCACCGTCTCCGGGATTACGTTCCCAGCTTGGCCAGCCTCAACGAAACCGACCGAGACCACCTATACAGCGATGGAAATGGAAAAAACTTTACATGAGGTACAACTATCCTTTACTGAAAAAGTTTCAGTAGATCATGTCACAACATCGAGGACCATATTGCTTGTTCCCCGGATCAATTGCGCATCAATATTCACATATTTTGTAATCACCTAAGAATGGGGAAAAAAGTTACCCTGGCATCAAGAGGGTCTGTTTCTCGAGAAACTATCTGTTGCAGAGCAAGAATGGCAAAAGAAGCAGCTACAACGGGATCTCTTGTATCCTGGGGACGAGCAGCATGTCCACCTTTCCCTTTAATTGTAGCTATAAACCTTCCCGAAGCAGCAAGCATTGGACCGGGTCTTGAATCAACTGTGCCAACGGGGATTTCTGGTGCAACATGCAGTCCAAAAATGCCTTGAAAGTTGTCAAGAGCGCCTTCTTTTAGCATATGGTAAGCACCACCATAACTTTCTTCTCCAGGCTGGAAGACAAGCTTAACAGTTCCCTTGAGAAAAGATTTCAGAAGCATAAAAAATCAGTAAAATAAAGGGTGGATGAGAATCCTGAATGTTTGTGATTGTGCACATACCTTCAGTTCATCCTTCATGCGTTCAAGCAACTTGGCAGCTCCAAGTAGCATTGTTACATGAGCATCATGGCCACATGCATGCATTTTGCCATTGTTCTTGCTTTTATGCTCCCACTCTACCATTTCCTTCCAAATGATCAGGTTGAAATAGATTACTTAACACTGTCTCTTAAGGTTTGGAAAGGTCTCAAACCAACAATCAGTGTTAGTTACTGACCTATTAAGGGAAACTTTTGTGGGGAAATGAAAACCGTACAGCAATTTTTTATCATGCAATGAAAACATAGAAATTATTTGATACTGCCAGTGTATTGCTACGCCGTTCAAATGAAATGGGGCCTAACATGATAACTATATGGAGGTTGCATTTATATGAGTGGGGGAGCATCCACCACGAAAGCTTGCAATTTTGTTTCTTTCAAGTCCTCTTGTCCTTCCATATTCTTCCATAAACAGAATTAGAGGCAGAATTAGGGGGGCAAGCAGGGCCTTTGCAAAACATTTTGTTTTTCTAATTTCATAGTAGTTAAATGTGGGGGACATTAATGGTCCATTCCTTTAATTTCTTTTACTTTATGCTGAGCTGCACGAAGAAAGAAGATACTGACACAGATGGACCATTCCTTTACTTTATGCATAGTTGGCTGCGGAAAGAATAAAGAGACACGACTTTTCCCACTTCAATTGTCTTTGCCTCCCCTCGCTTTGTGGAGCCGAACACAAAGGGTGAAAAAATAGAAACAAGAATACCGATGCCGGGGCAGAGCCGCGTCAACTAATTTATCTTCAATCAAAACAAGTTAACAAGTAACCCAAACTTAAAATCTTTTTTTTTTTCTTTCTTATTTTGGGATGTTTGTGAATAATCTATTGTGTGTGTTTCCTTAGTTCTGCTTTTATTTTTATTTTATTTTTTTTAAATTTGCTAGTTTTGTCATTTTTTTCTTTTAAATTCTAGTTAAAGATTATTTTTTTTCTTAATTAATTAGATATATTTTATTGGGTTGTTTGAATCTTTTTATATTTTATTTTTTCTTTTATGTATTCAATGTAAGTTTTTTTTTAGGAACTAATAATTCTATTTTTTTTAATATATCAATTTTGCTTTTATATGTTAGTTTTGTGGGGTTTTTTTTCCTTTTATTTTCAAGTGCTAGGTCTAATTTTTTTCACCAATATATTAGATATATTTTATAGGTTTGGGCTGCATATAAAAATTTATTTGAAGATTTGGTTATTGCTTAGGTACATGTAATTTGTATTCATTTCTAAAACAAGAAATAGTAAGAATTCATAATGTTTTGATTTTAGCATGAAATGAATAAAATAAAAAGAATTTACTCTCTATTTTTTTAGGAAAAGAGGAAAAATATTGATAATTCATGGTCTAGTTAACCAACTCCAGTATGTAATGTTGAAGATATGATTGAGCAACCTCAACATACTTTAGCTTATGAAGAACCTACATTGATTAGTGAGTTACTTCCTACTAGAATTAACAATACTCATTTAATTTAAAATCCAAAAAATATCCTTAAATTTAGAAATACTCAATTAATTAACATGATGAAATTTAAAGAAAATACATTAATTTGAAATTATATCAATCTTTAATATCTAAATATCTGCTGACTAATGAAAAAACATCATCGTCAAATTTAGTCTCATTGGTTCAAAAGGTTTTCATAGCTTGAATATTCAAAGAAAAATATTGCATTTTATTTCTCTTGCTATCTATTTCCAAGTAAGTTGTATAGAAAGTAAGGATTAGACATATTCACTATTAAAAGATTTAATTATTAAAAGAAAATTAATGACAGAAAATGATGTGATTTTTTTACCCAAATGAGAAAAAGTTTTAAATTCTCAGCTCATAAATTTGTTGTCAAGTGCTTAGAAACTTTGAAAAAACAGTTATGTCATATTAAGAATGTAGTTGAGAGGTAAACAACTTAAGAAATTCTAAATAATCGATTGTATATTAAATATTATTTGTTGGTTTAAATTTCAAGCATGTAATTTTAGAGAACATAATGAATAGCTAGAATAAAAGGGCCAGAATAATTTTTCTTGAAATAGTAGAACTTTTAGCATCATACAATGAATAAGTAGATGTTTTTTTTTTAAGTAATGCTTCACAAAATGCTACATAAACTATACATCAAATTCAAAAATAAATTTTACATGTCTTTGTTAGAAATGTTTAATTTTCAATTAATCATGAGATCGATGATATAATTTTTTTAAAAAAATTATTGATGAAGCTTAAGATAAATCAAAAGGTAAATACACACTTTTTGTTACTAGGTTTGTTGATAGAAGTGGATTTTTACGAGAATGATTTTTTGTTATAATTCATATAAAAAATACAATTGCTTCAACTCTTAAGGAAGAGATTTTGTTTATTTTATTTCATCATAATCTTGATGTTTAAAATATTAGAGACCAAAGATATGATAGTGCTAGTAATATATGTGGAAAGTGAAATGGTTTACAAGTTGTTTTCATTAAAGATTATCTTTATTTATATTATTTACATTACTTAGCTCGTCCATTATAATTGGCTCTTATTATTGTAACTAAAGAAGTATCTAATACTTATATTTTCTTTTAGAATTTGATTTTATTGTCAACACTATTAGTACTTTTTTCCAGTGTGATAATGGATTACATGTTTTTAAGCAAGATTGCAATAGGGAAAAGAGATAATTAAGTAGGTAGTTTGCAATGACTTGGCAAAAGTAGGTTAAGTTTGCATTTCAAATCAATTTGTAATTTGAACATTATTTCAGATAGATCTATTTATTCTGAACATAGTGATATAACTTTTGCGTTTAAGTTGATAATGTCAAAAAAATGTACTGTAAATTAGTTTTTGGCTCCCCTAGCAAATAATCCTCCTGGCTCCATTTTTCATATTGCACCCAATTAAGACTATTGTGTGATTATCATTTTGTAGAGATTGAATAGCATTTCCCGTTTTGTGGTTTAACTAAACAACAATGACCAACTGGTGCCTTCTTGCAGCAGCTAAGCATAACTGGGACTGCAACATGGTTTCCTGAACTGGGGAAGATTGAAAAACTCGACATCAGTGCCTTTTGCTATTTTAAGGGTGAAATTGCTTAGTTTTAACTAATGGACTAAACTGAAAATCCCATGGCGTTTGAACGCGTGACATCTGTATAGTCGACCGTGTTTTTGGAGAAGGAAATTAAAGAGTCGAACAAGACAAACCTGAATTGGGAGGGCATCCATGTCTGCTCTAAGCCCGAACCACGGCTGCAACCCTGACCCAATCGAGCCCACCACCCCAGTCTTTGCGAAAGGCCACTTGTATTCAATCCCAAGCGAGTCAAGTTCCGATCTTATGAGTTGACTCGTGTTGTATTCTTCAAAAGCCAGCTCCGGGTCCTCGTGGATTCTCCTTCTAATCCGTTTTAACCACTCAAAGAACTCTGGTTCTCTTGCTGATTGAAGCAGCTCTCGAGTGAGGTGACTCAGCTTCGATTCAGAACGAGTGTCTAAAGCCCATGTTGTCTTACATGTTGATAGTATCATTAACAAACAAAGCCATGCCATTAGATTAGACACACCTATCTTCGATTCATGTGAATCTTGAGACTGTTCGGTCGTTTCCGAATTCGTTTATATCTTCACTAGGCAGGAGGTCTGCAATTGCAATGTTGTTGAACTTGATGGCGACGGACGGGTGATGGTATAAGATTGGAATCGTTCGTAGTTTCTTAATTAGGTGGCGTGTCTGGGCGTACGATATGGATGGACTCCTAATTATAATATCCAGCCGGCTCATAACTCTGTTCATGTCATAGGTTGTTGACCTGTTATGGTACTGCTTTTTTTTTTTGTTAAAAATTATTTTTTAATATTTTCATATTATTTTTATATATTGATAGTAAAAATAATTTTTTTAAAATAATCGTATTATTTTTATATATGGATAGTAAAAATAATTTTTTTAAAATAAAAAATATTATTTTAATATATTTCTAAATAAAAAATATCCGATATTTATTATTTTTTAAAATAAAATTATATTGGATAATTTAAAAAAAATAATATTATTTTAAATAAATAAAAAATATTGGTTGAGTCTCACTCAAATCACCTAAATTTATCTAAATTAACTTTTCATGATTAAAAAACAAGCTTACCTTTAATAATATTTCAAATCCACAAGTTATTAAGTTAACTCATTAAATTAAACTCTAAATTAATATATTATCAGGTTGATTTATTAAATCAAGTTAAATTTAATAACTATAATTAGATTTATGAAATATGAGTACTAAATTTAATGGGTTAGTTTTGATATTAGCCTAATTAAAATTTAAAGATTTATTAATATGCTATTTTTTTAGATCCAACATGGCAAAAAAAAATGAATAAATTACTTATAATTTCATCACAATTTTAATTTTTTTAATAAGAGTACACAAACATCTAAAGAATTAGGAATAAAACCTGAATAGGTACAGGAGAACCAATTTAAAAACAAAAAAAAACTATGAGGAAATTCAATCTAATTATCATGTTGGGTTTGGATAGAATCTATTATTTTTTATTATTTTTTAATTGTTATTTCAAGTTTTATAAAGTCTGATTAACTAGACAAAAATAAATACATAATTATACAATGAAATTATTTTTAAATGTTGGATTTATTTATTTGAACAGAATGTGTTCCTACAAAAATAAATACATAATTATATAATGAAATTATTTTTAAATGTTAGATTTATTTATTTGAACAGAATGTGTTCCTTAGAATATATCATTTCAATAAATACTTACATTTTTTTTAACTTTATCATGTTTTGTTTAAAAATTATGATTTTTTTAAGTGATCAATGATGAAAAAAAAAAACCAAATACCTCCACATTGTTTTGGTTATGCCATCCTCTTCACCATGCCTTTTCATTATAGCCTGAATGGTTTGCCAACTTTAGTGATAGGTTTTCTTGCCTTTTTTCCTTTTTTTTTTTTACCTTACTTCAGTATCAAAAACAATTCTTAGCTACTTATACTCACCACAATATAATAATTCCTAGCTATTTATACTCATCACAATATGATCTCGCACCTTAATATATTTTTATTCTTAAGATATTAGTGTTGCAACAATAAGGAGCACATCAAATTCTTCTACACAGAAAATGCACTATATTTCTTGCTAATAACCATCAATCAATCACCAATTGTTTCAACAATATTTTATAAGATGAGCACCAATTTTTTCATTAATGGTATTTGCCACTTAGTATAAAGTTATCCACTCTTGATAAGTAGCAACTTTTTGCACCATTAGATATCTATAATATCACATTCTATGAAATAAGTGTGACCAAGGTCTATAAATACAAAAATTCAAGTTAAATATAAGACAAGCTAGGCCAAGTCATACAATTTCACTCACTTCCAATAATAATAAGCAATCATACAACAATTCCAGCAATCATTATTCAATGATTTCATAAATTATAAGCACCCTTACAACAATTTTATGAATCACAAACAACCTTTCAACAATACAACAAGTTTTATTTACTCTCTTATATATTGTTCCACTCTTATATTTTACTAACTTAAGCATTAAAGGGTCCTTTATTTTGACAATAAACTTATTTTGTAAGAAAACTCGATATAGTAACCCCATCAATCCACTAGACCAATGATAAACCTAATCACTCTAGTAATCCAACAACATATCCTATGGAAAGCCAAATCTAGTCTGAAGTTTTATAGATTTCATTAGTAATGCCATTTGCAATAATCTAAACAAAAGTTAGTTCATTTCATTTGGTTCCTCACTAAAAAGTTTATATAATTGATAAAACTCCATGATAAGAAAGAATAACAATGTTGTTCTTACCATACAAGAACAACTTGCCACTCAAATACAACACTTAACTTCGTCTTTATTATATGCATTAGGTGGATAAAGATAACTTTAATTCTATAAAGGAATAAGACAAAACAACATGCAAACTAGATATGGCATTCCAGCTTTACAAAGAAATAATTCTCATTCCTCAAATTATTTTTTGAATCTTGTTTTTATGTTTTTTATTAAAAAAACTCAAACAAGAGATAAGACCAACAACTACACAAGCTACCATAAATGGATATCACCACCATTGAGTACAAGAATATCCATTACATCATCAAATGTTACACTTTCACCTCTTCAAGCATTATATCTCTACAAATACCAACTTTGATAACTATGTTAACCGATTAATAATTAAAATTATATTTTTATTAAGATTTTATATCATTATTTTGCACTTAAAGTACCATTAAATTCCCTAACTTAATCAAGTTTTATAATAACAAGTATGATAATATAAGATAACTTTAATTTATAGTAAATGTTTATTTTAAATGCAGACATATCTCACAATTCAAATGATTGATCAATATAATTAACTATTAAAAGTGAAAGGATAAAGAAAAAGTTAAGCTTAGAAAAGAAACGTTGATTCAATTCAAACTAGAACACTGTTCAATTATTGGATTATATCTAGAGCTGTAGATCTTGGATTTCAATTTGGTTTATATGGCTAGAAAACTAAGATATAGGCCGAAAACATCAATGAGAGTCCAAGATTCAATTCTACCATTTTGAAATCCAAATCTTAGCATAAAAAAGAAGACCAAATTTCTTCTGTAACCTAGACATTGTTCAGTGTTCAACCTATATATTGAGTTCTAGAAGTCCAAATGCATCGATTCTTTTTTTGTTGGAAAACAGAGATAATTTTCTAAAACTTTCTTGAGACTATCTATTTAAATTCTGATGTTAGCAATGATGTTTTTTACAAATAAAAAGATAATAATTGTTACCAAGTCAAGAGGTGGCTACTCGCTGAATAATTAATCATCAAATCAATGGTTTTAAATTTAAGCCTATAAAAGGAGGTATTTACCATGCATTTAGACATCTTGGTTTTAAAATCAAGATCATATTCTTGCTCTTTTTTTATATATTTTTGTAATGCTTAAGTTTTTCTTTCATTAATTTCTTATTTATTCCTTTCATTTCCTTTACTATATAATCATGTTCTCCTCTTGTTTATTTATGTTTCTCTTCTTTATTATATTTAACAAAGTTTATTATGTCAAGGTGAAAATATTTCACTAATGGTGTTAGGATAAATATAATATAAATTCAATATGGACTTCAATGATTATATCCTAAAGAACTTGCTATTAACATGTCTTATTATTTTTATCTTATTAATTCTTAATACCTTGCTTGTTAAATGGTTAATCTATATTTGTGTTGTATAACATTTGATACAACAAATGCTTGACACTTTCATAGCCAACCTTATGATATAACTTACACCTGTGCTATGAAAGGAACTTGATTTGTTGTTAATATAAGTTAGCATCATAAATTCTTCACAATATTTAAAAAATTTAGTGTTACTTAAATAAGATAATTAATATGATCATGTTAATAATTTATAATGAGTTAATAATGAAAAATAATCCTATTAGAACCTTCTTTCTGTGTGATTTCCAATTGAGTAATAAAAAGAGTTAATATTATACTTATTTGAAATAACATTAGTAGATCTCCTAACATTGATAATTGTTTTTATCTTTGATTAATACTCTCATCAATATCACATCTCAAAGTTCTCTTTAACTCACCACCACCACCACCACCACCACCATTATTATTATTATTTATAATTTATATTGTTAACCTTCCTATGGTTTAACTCCGGTCTTGTTAAGTTATTTATTTTTTTGACACTTGTACATTTAGAAAAAAATACCAATCTTTTGGTCATGTCAATGACCTTATAGATCCTAAAAAGTACATAAAAATGTTAGGAGCATCATAGAGCTTGTAATATAAAAGAGTGTTACTATGTGCAAAATTTTCCTGATAATAATTTATAGATTTATTAGGGTGTGGTACTACAACCTTGAGTCTATCTATATTTTTAGCCTTTATGATCTTTTTTTAAGCTCGTCTCTCATTTTTAGCATTAGTATTCTAACTTAAAAAAGCATCACTAAGCTTTTTACCACCACCTAATAAGAATATAAAAGCACCAGAACATACTTTCAAATATTTAAATATAAAATGTTGAATATTTTCTAAACACCTTACCACACTTATTACCATTGCATATGCTAAAGTATTTGTTATCATTCAGAGAAACAATGTTGTGTGATACTTACCCTGCATAAAAAATAGCATGAACACAATAAACCCTAACAAGTTTTGTTATGCTCGTGACACTAAGAAATATCATACCTTTAAAAAAAGATAGAAAGATTAATATCTAGGGGGATTTCTCTAATAATTTATAAAGGAGAAGTTACAACCTAAATAAATAGAAAAAAAAATCCCTATGATGCACTATTTGAGATTAGATAATTTTTAGAAATTGTATTTCATTATCTTTTAACCTTTTGAATAAAAGCAGTAATATTTCTCTATATCTCTAATATAAAATCTCCATGATGAAACCTCCAATGTCTCCACCAAAACCTCCACATGAGATGGTTGTTAAAATATCAATGTCTCTATATAATATTTCCTTACACGATGCTTTAATACTATTTTTTATAATCACAAAGCATCCTCTTGTAGGAAAATACTTGTTTACGAGAGAAAATCTCATGAAAACATGTTAATAAAAGCCATGAAAGGTAGTATTTATATAATAAGAATTTTGTTTCCTTCTACTTTTGTTAGTCAA